ACCCTCCCAGAATGAAGAGTGATAGGCTCAAAAATCAACTAACTAGAATATCATTCCAAATGAATGTTTCTAATATCAAATATTTAATTTGGATGACAAAGAGAAGTTCTATCAATATTCTTTAGAACTCTGAAGATAATTCTTGATAAATGAACATTTAAACTCAAACAGTTTGCTGAAACTCTGTTGTTCTATCCAATATTCTTTATTCAATGGGGACCATCCCATGGTGTTGATTGAAAACTTGTTTACCAAACTATGCTATAACGAATAAACAACAGTAGGGAAATTAATATTTAGAAACATGACTCATAGTGGGTTGAATAGAGCAGCGGATTTGAGGCTATAAATTATAATAATACAACTTTTATGAGCTTGGACTTGTGCAGCAGACCACCATTGCTCCAATTTAATTAACAAGCATTCAATGTCGTGGACCTTAATTTAAATTTACAGAACTGATGTGGGGTTCAGTGCTGGATATATTAGATAAGATTGTCATAGAAGAATGACCGTGTTCAATGGGCATGGACGCATGGCATCCTCAGAATCTAAGTTCAGACAAGTCATCGTCAAGCTTAAACAAAATAAAAGAAATGAAGTTATAAGGAATGGACGCTCAGGTTAACCCAATTTAATTAGAACCATCACCCCTAGACTAGATATAAGGAGAAGACAAGCGGGCATTAAATATTTGATAAAAGAACAAACTGAAGGCAGCCGGATCAATTTGCATTAGAGTATACTGCAAATCTGTGGTGTTTAATAAATGAAGCTCTATTACAAGTACCAAGTTGAGGGAGACATTCATTGATCCAGTCCCTTCTAGCAGTTTTGTTCTTTTCTCTCTTGTAGCAGTTTTGTTCTTTTCTGTTTTCTTTTTCTTCAAACAGTCGTCCCAGAGTGATCTCCATGAGCCCATTACTCAACTTGCCATGAATCATCATCCCACCTAACCAAAGAGTGGAGAGTACTGCCCAGATAATTAAGCAATGTGTCCACTCTCCTACGTGTAATGCATGCATGCTGACATGAATGTGCAGGATCCCCATGAAGTGCACCGTCAGATAAAAGCAGCCTCACGTGGCAAGAGTATGGGTACAGTAAGCCAACTCATGCTTGTCAGGTGTGGGCCCTTGAATGTATAGCACTAATTAGCTTCTTTCTGCGCCCCGTCACCCAACCCATTATTACAGTACACAGTCCAAGCTAGCTCCAAGCCTCCAACCAATTCATTTGATGCTGAGAACGTTGAACAAGTCTCCTAGTCCAATTTGGCTTTGCCTGCTTTGTGCCAAAGAAATTTATAGTTTGTCTGGGTTGTAATTAATATTTGCTGCAATTGAACTCTGTAATAGATTAACTGATATTAAATTAGGAAGGTGGTCTTGGTTATTTAATGGATTTTAGGAGCTGAATCATTTAACTAGGTGGTTAATAAGTATAAAATCTTGTATTTTGTACGTATTTATATTGTATATATTTGTATTTTGTAATCCTTTTAAACTGAGCCTATAAGGCTGTATTAGGTTGCAGTGTAATTTTATTTATACTAGTATAAATGTGTATGCGAGTGTAAATGATAAAAATGCAAATTCTCGTTTAATTTTATTTTGGGTTTTATTTTATTCTTCTTTATGTTTTAGTTTACTTTATTTGTATTGCAATTGAACAAAATAAACTTAAATTTAAAGCAAAAATAATTCACAATTTACACTCAAATCATTTACATTGTTATAATTTTGCATCAATATAAATTCATTTGCATTGCAATCAAACACAGCATAAGGTACATTATCCTATATATACACAGGCTGAAAGAGCCCGTATATTTGTTTAAGGTCTAGTTGATTGGCAAAGTTTGTATTTTAATAGTTGAAACATAGAATGTAGCCCACATTCAAAGCATGTTATTATTTTACAATTTTCGATCTTAATTACAATTTTGTTCCTATTGAAATTGAATGTCTACCAAACCAGACTTAAGTATAGATCAAGAAAAGTTTTCTTTTATTTATTTATTAATATATTTGACTGGCAATTTCTCACTTAATTTATTTTAACTGGAAATTTCTCACAATTTATTTATTATTAATTATTCTCTTTTATTTAGGCTTAGCATTAATGGGGATAGATAATATTTTACTTTTTCAATTTTGAATGGAGAGTCTCCATAGATTCTCATAAGCCCAGAGCGCCTATAACCAAAACCATTTTGTCTACGTATGAAAAAAAAAAAAAGAGAAAACGAATAAATTGAAGAAATGTTTATTATAAACAACTTTAGAAGATCCATTTCCTTAAAGATTAATTATATTTTCTATTTTCCTAATGCTATACAAGTTCCTTGATTTTCCATATCAAAATGTCGAGTGTTTTATAATTCCTTTTTCATCCATGCTTTACTTAGTTTCTTTTCTCTATGTTTTACCCAATGTTTTTGAGCCACTGTCGATTTGGATGGTTTCATTCTACCCTAAATATATTCTTTGGCTAAAAATTGTTGAATTGATCAATAATTTATTGATTCAGGCAGTTGAATCGTCCATTTGAATCAAATGGTCAAATCATTGACCCGAAAACCGATGGCCAAAAAGGTTTCAATTCTAAGTCAGTTTTTAAAACCTTGATTTTACCTCAGCCCGAATCAATTAGGCACACTGAACACTCAATAAGCATCAATGATTTCTTTTATTGGGGCCCTTAGGTAGTTGGAGTCCGAGTCTTAGCCCAACCCAACTTCACTCCAACAACATACTTATGCATGAATCATATATGCAAAATTACATAAATTTCCTATATAAAGATTTAAATTATTGATACCATTTATGCACTTTGAATACATTGGCCAAATAGGCTCATCCAAGTCCAATTAAGCAACCTGATCCCAATTCAGACTTGGGCCAGTCAGAGTATCAAGTTCCAGTTTGTGCAAGGCCCAAATTAGACAAATTAGGCTTGAACTTGGGCTCAGACCTTAAGCCCATTATTAGACTGGGTGAGTTGACCTTAAACTCCACCCAGCCTTTCCAACTTTCATGGTTGCACCCCCTTAGATTCGTCAAGAGTGAACACCCAATGACAGGCGATTTCATTGCTTAGGATGTGTTTGGTTGCAGTGTAAATTTATTTGCATTAGTTTAATTTTGTTTTGGATTTTACTTTATTCTGCTTCTTATCTTAATTTACTTAATTTATAATACAATCAAACAAAACAATCTAAAATTTATTATAAAAATAGGTCAGAATTTACACTCAAATTATTTGTATTGCCATGATTTTGCATCAGTACAAATTTATTTGCATTGCAATCAAACACAGCCATAGCTATTAACTATTGTCTTGTCTACTCCCGTGTCATTCTCTCCAAATGTTTTATTTAAATAAAACATGATTAACCTTTCACATTCAAGATTCCTAAAATATAAATTTGCTAGCAGACAATGGAATTTTAATTTTGTTAGTGTAAGAGTATTTGTGCAAATATGCTGTAACCATATATGATATACAGCATTTGGATATAACTTTATTACCTACACGAAACCCAAGGTAAATGTCCACTTTTTTATAGTATATAGATTGATATAGATAAATATGCGCCCTACCCAGACCTAATTTCGAGCTAGGCAGGCCGTCTTATGTATTACTATCATCGTGCTACTTTGGGTGGGTTGGTTCAGTACTAGGGACAAAGTTAAGACCCAAACCCTGATCCATCCGAAGATGGGCCTGAGCCCAAAACAACTTGGTCGTCACAACTCATGTGGGGCCTCAGACTCAGGTTTTATGAGTCTAACTATGGTACACTAATTTAGAAATATTTGATTTCAACTTAATTAATCAATTGAGGGCTGGTTCGTTGGTGTGTTAACCGGTTTGTTCCGGTGTTGACGCAAAATTAAATCCGAAAGAAAAAGAAAAAGGGTCAAGGGAAACTTTTTAAGAACAAAGAGGCAAGGCACCAACTGCTAGTGCCAGTCATTGGGTTAAAAATAGAAATCTTGGCCCAATCCAATCATCGGCTTGGCCTAAGCAAAACAAGATACCTATTGGGGAGATGGGCTTCTATCAGGGCAAATTTGTACCCTCACCATTCTAACTCCTATTGGGGAGTAATTTTTAACTTCCCAATTGTCCAGGCATAAAATCGATAAGAATTTAACCCACGTCACAACCCAAGAAGACCAACTAAGCCCAACAAAACATAAATCCACAACCCAAGATACTGATCAAACCCAACAAATCATAAAATCCAAAAGCCAAGAAGATCGACCAATCAACCAATCAATCGGTATCATAAAAGTAACCAATCAGGTGGACATCACAAATTTCCCCTTTGTCCAATATAATGTGAAAACAGTTGCAAATAATTAACAACTTTCAAAGCAGCGGACCCCGGATACCTGGATGCCCCAAAACCAAACCCAACCCAGCCTATACAAAAGCTCAGACTGGGCTGGGAGCCTGGGACAGTATGAGATGAGGCTGCCCAAGTTCAGATACGAATAGCCCAAGATGCTGACCCAGATACCATCCCCTAATTGCAGCCAAACTGATAAACTGATTTAACCCAAATTCCGAAACATATGACCTGTTAAGGCTATGTTTGGTTACAGTGCAATTTTATTTGCACTAGTACAAATGCATGAGAATGCAAACGAAAAAAAGTTCAAATTCTCATTTAATTTTGTTTTGGGTTTTACTTTATTCTGCTTCATGTCTTAATTTTGTTCATTTATAATGCAACCAAACAAAATAAGCTTTGAAACAAAAATAAGTCAGAATTTACACTCAAATCATTTACACTGCCACAGTTTTGCATTAGTACAAATTTATTTGCATCGTAACCAAACACAGCCTAAGCTTTTACCTCTAGCTTGAAGGAAATACGCCATGAATGCAACCTATTTTTCAGTTGTATCTGGTCATGAAGTTAGCACAAAGACTTGAATCCTTTTATCAATGATCGCATCACAGAATAACAGAATATAAAGCAAATGTTCTGCAAACTCAAGCACCACCTGCTTTCTGCAGCATTATGCCACCATTATTCGATTCAAACAAGTTTCTATTTATTCATGCACGTAATACATCACTTTACTTCACAATAGACGCATTCCAAAAGACAGAGAATCCACCAAAACTACAGACACATGAAAGTTGTTACTGAATCATCACTTCTTTCACATCTTTTCTTTGCCCAGTTCTGGGTATGGTGATGAATAGCAACCCATCCTTCATTTCAGCCTTAATCTCATCCACCTTGGCGTCATCCGGCAACTGCAGGCTCGTATTGTAGTACCCACAACTCGCAGACGACCAACGATCGTCGTCCGAGACGTCCTCTTCCTGGTGTTCTCCTTTAATTGTCAGGAATCCATCTTCTATGGTGATCTTCACGTCCTCCTTAGACAGACCCGGCACTTCGTATCGCAATTTGTAGCTGTCGTCGTCCTCCCTCATTCGACCCATCAACCGAGATGGCGTCAAATTCTCCAACAACCTGTTCAGGTTCTCGGATGCTTGTAGTAATGCGTTTTCAAGCCCTGACGGGAAGAATTCTGGAGATTTCCAAAAGAAATAGAAAAAAAAAGTTATTCAGATTTCACGCCATGACGGTTATTGACTTGCCAAAAGAAAATTAAATTAAAAAAAAAAAAGTGATTCAGAAATTACCATTGAGAGACAAGGGAAAGCCAGGGTTCCTCCAAAGGTTTCTTCTGCGTTGGTTCCTACGGAACAGCTTGGATTTCTTACCATCTCCTTCGGAGACGGCAACTTCCCGGTCGTCGGAAACCTTTTCTGAAGCAGCAGTTGAGAACCTCCTCATGATTTCGGAATCCCATCGTTGTTTGGACAAGGTTGCTGCTCTGTTGCCCAAGTGAGCAGATAAGGCAGAAGTCGAGAACTTCTGCTGCAAATTCTTCAAAGCCAAACGAGCTACAGCCATTTTTCAACTTTGCTTGTTGTTTCTTATGAAAGCGTTGGGTGTTCCCGTGTATGTGCGTGGGTTGTGATTTGTATGCAACAGAGTTTGAAAGAAATGAAAAGTGAGATTCGATTTCGATAGTCGACGGAAGACGCAGAGCACAGACTAATCACTAATGGATCTAATTTAAAGGAGATAAGGAGAAGTAGTGGGTGGGAGAAGTATCTAAGAGCTTCTGGGGCACTACTGGATCACTGGAGAAACCTGGAAAGGCCTATGCTTTCTTTTCTCCCAGGATTGACATCGATTTCAGGAGTATTCGAGAGGGTATTGCATTTGACGCCACATTAGATCTATGAACTTATGATCTATCTATTCCCCACTCTTCTTGTTTCTTCCAATATATATTTTTATCACTTTAAAAAGTTTTAAACCGAGACCGGGACCCATAATCAAGGATCAATCTACATGGATTTGGATGTGGATTCATCCGTTTATATGTGTTAACGGATTCATGTTGGCTAGAGGTGGCAATTTTTAATCCAACCCGCTGAACCCACCCAACTCTAATCCATCCAATCCGCTTATTTATTTGGCGGGTTGTGTGATCCATCATCCAATCCATCCATTTAAATGGGTTAGGTAAATAGGTGGGTTGGGTTGGGTTGTGGATTACCATTATAGACATAAGTATTAATTCCTTAGCCTTTTTTTAATTTTCTTCATTTGAATTAAATAATTTATAATTAATGCATCAATATACTTCACTCAATATAAATCCAAATCAATTTGATCCGAGTCCAAACTAAATCAATACAGTCTAACCCGATCCAGTATATACTGGATCGACACAGTCAGACCCCCGACGAGATGGCTCAGTGCCGCTTGCTCTATTCGATTTGGGCTGTCCGGTCCAACCAATATTCACACAGTCCGATCCGACCAACACAAGTTGACCCGAATCCGAACGGTTTGGGCTGATGATTTGTCATCTACGCGTTTTGCCCGATCTAGGCCGTCCGCCCAACCAATACCCACGCGAAGCGACCCGAATTAGTTACATTGACCCGGTTTGAGTTAGTCGTTCTGGCCCCGAGCCCGTGCACAAACCTGATATGGTTCGATCCAAGTCAATCCACCATTGTCTGAACCGGTCTAGGTCTGGTCCAACTGGATAGATCTAGATCTAAACGGTTTAACTACCCTTGAACCTAACTGGTTTAAGTTGGTCTGATTGGTTTGAACCTAACTGGTTCGGTCAAACCCGAAATCCAAACATAGCCAAATGGCTTTGCCGCTTGTATAAAAATAGCATGCATGTAATGTAATTTGAACCTTCACCACTTATATAAATAGTAACTACAATAACCACCAAGCTACAACCAACTTATTTGTTAAGAGAGAGTTTACTTTTTAAGTCCATAAATATAAGATTAATGGGTTTGGGCGGGCTAGATTGGGTTAAAGCGGGTTTGGATTGAACCCAACCCATTTAATTTTATATAATTGGGTCATTAATGGGTTGACAGGTTAGATGGATTGGATTGAAATTCAACCCAAACCAAATCCAACCCAACCCGCCCAATTGCCACCCTTATTGTTGGCATCGATCCAAATTCCCAAGCCCAATTTTAAGGTTGGGCCCCAGTCTTGGGAGTTTCATGACACGTGGCTATCTTTGAAAGCCCGCAAAGACTTCCAAAGACTTTTCCCGTATCATAGTCGAACCCATAAATTAACCTAAATCTGCCAAACGACATTCATGACACCAAAGACGCACTACAAACAAAATATATAGATCCAACCATCACAGAGAACACTTGGTTCAAATACATAAAGACTCGGTAAAACAAACGTGGACAGACCAGAAAATATGGCTAGTAAGGCTGCATTTGGTGGGGTTTCTTGCCTCAAAATGGGTTTTAGAGTCAAAAGGAGCAATCTAGGTATTAAGAAAAGTGTAAATTGAAAAAACTAGAATGGGAAATAAGAAGCACTTCTTGAAAACACGAGAAACTAGAAGTCGCCTATCAAACTACTTTTTGTAATGACCTTTTTCACCAAATGCTTTTGCGGCTGCTTTTGGCTTCCAAAACACAATATACACTAGAAGCGCTTATTTTAAGTCTTGCCAAACATCGCCCAAGACCCGAAGGCTCGGTTTGGAAGAATACTAGACCTGGCAATTGGGTTGGGTGGGTCAGGTTCGGGTTGGGTCAAGACACTCCGGGTTGATATCAGGTTGAATTTTGGGTTGGGTTGTTAAATGCTAGACCCTAACCCTAAATGTTCGGGTTATGATTGATCCATGGGTCAATTTGGGTCATCCCAAAAAATAACTGAAATTAAAAAAATACATGAAAAATGCCAAAATTAAAGAAATTAACCTTAAAATCCAAATATAAAAAAAAACTGAACATTTAATAATTCAAAGAATAAACAATAAAGAGTAAAGACTAAATAGAAAAAATTAAAGAGTGGAAACTTCTAACAATGTATAAATAGTTCCAATTAGACTTGACAATCAAGTTAGCAGGTTGACCCATGACACAATCCAATTTTTTCTAGGGTAGACTGGATCAACTTTTTGCCAAGTCTAAAGAGTACAAATACAAATATGTAGAGTGCAAAATCTTGTATTTTATATTATTTTGTATGTATTTGTACTTTGTCCAAACTGAGTCAAACACAAAAAATTTTAGGCCTGTCAATGGACCAAATCCAATCCAATCCAACAAGGATCTAGATGACCACCTCTCTCTCTCTATATATATATCTATATCTATATATATATATATATATATGAAGGTCAAGCCCAATTTATAAACTTGATTGTTATCAAGCTGAGCTTAAATAGTATGAAGTTCGGCATGTGAAACTTGCAAGCTTCATTAGGCTTATTTTTAATTTTTATTTACAATAAGAAATATTTTTTACATGAAGCTTTAACTCAGTATGGAACTTGAACTGAGCTGAACTTGAATGTGAACTTTTTAAGTCAAGCCAAATTTAAGTTAATATTTCTAATGGTGTGCAATCTGGCCGGTCCTAGTTGTCAACAATCTTGCCTCGGGCTGGAGCACAAGGTGCCTGAAACGGGGGAGAAAGCGAGGAATCTCCGGGGAAGAACCCGGTGAGAATGCTCCGAAGCTCAAGTTAGTGTTTCCTCAAAGGCAAGATAAAACCAGATGGCGCAAAGTAATCACATACCTCGTTCTTGGGGGGTAGAGAACCTTTTATAACCACTTCGCGCACTCACTCCTAAGCTTCTATCAAGTCGGGTATGATTACCTCTGCGCTTTTGCCAGTTCGGGTGTCATCACCTCTACTGGGGCAGAACCGCCACTGCTCTCTTTGTCGGAGCCGTCTCTGTAACTGGAGATGGCGGTGGTAGGTGGCGGTGGCAGGTGGCCGTTGAAGTGCGGCTGTCAAGCATCAGATCCCAAGTCATTCAGGTGCGCCGCCCCTGGATACGGACTCCTTCGGTGTCAGGTACGGTGCGGTTGTTCAGTTCGGCGTCCTGGAGGCGAAGTGCTGGAGTGGTGTGCGAGGTGAAGTCTTGAGTTTGGATAGAGGTGTGGCCCAAACTGCCATGCGGCGGGCCAGTTCAAGTTGCTGCCCTTTGTGTTTGTAAGGCTCGGGGTCCAAGGGAGAGCTCGGGCTCCTTATGGGGAGTTCGGACCACGGGTTCCTCTTTTTGGAGTTCGCGCCTTGGGCGTACTGTTGTGCAGAGCTGCTGCCTTTCCACGTGTTGAGTGGTTACGAGGTCGGGCCAAATCTTCCTTCATCAATTGCCCCCCACTCCTCGCGCAAAGGGACTTGCCCTGGCGCGGGGAGTTCACGAGGTGGTGGGTGGATTTGACCCGTACTTCAAACTGGTTTGATTGATAGCGCGAAGTGCGCGTTCGTCAAGATTTTTCCGGGTTTCTCGAGCGCCAAAAAGTCAGGAAACGCACCATTCCGTCTATAAATGCTGACAGACATGACAGCGCGCGTTTATTTCAAAATTTAAAAAATGCGCCGCTGGGAGACGTGACAGCGGGCGTCTTTTCAAATTTGAAAACACGCGTCGTTGCCGCCTTTAATGCAAGGAGACGTACGCTGGCGCTCTTTTAGTTTCAAAAGACGTGCGGCCAGTCACGTCTCGGTCTCAGGAGACGTGTGGTCAGCGTGACTGCGGGTCGTTGGATTTGCTTTGATCAGAACCGTTGATTTTCAGTTACTGTGGGTATAAATAGTGGGGGACCCCAGTCGCTTTGTCATTCTCCTGCGTTTTGCTTCTTCAGCTCGCGTCCAAGTCTTTAGCTCGCGTTCAAGTTCCCTTGGTCCGTTTGCTTTTTCCGGGTGAGTACTTTCCTGGAATCCTTCTCCTCCCGATGCCTAGCTCAGATAGCTCAGACAGTTCTTCAAGGGGGTCAGATGTAGGTTCTACGAACCGAGCTGCATCCCCCAACAGCCCTAGTGAACTCGAGGTAGAGCTCGAGGAAGAGTTCGAACCCATAGGCTGTCGCCTCAGGTAGTTTGGCGTCCTCCTCCCGTCGAGGTCGGACGTTAGACAAGTTTGGGCCCTCGACCATGACGCCTGAGGGGCTTCACTCCCTTATTACCCAGTTCAACTTGCCTAGGGAGTACACCTATTTTATACCCTCGGGCAGCTTCCCTTGGGAACACGGTCCTGATGAGATCGTGATATTTTGGGAGCAGCTCGTTGTTGGGTTGCGCCTGCCTTTCCACCCCCTCGTTGTCGAGGTTATGAACCACTTCGGCGTTACTATCAGCCAACTTCACCCGAATTCAATTCGTAACTTGGTGGGGACAATCTCCCTATTTTGCGAACAGATCTTGCCTTTAGACCTAGAGATCTTCTCTTCCATTCTAATGCTTAAGAAGTAAGCGGGTCCCCTTCTCGGGCGTAGGCAGGCGTATTACCTGTCTCCTCACTTGGGTTTTAAGCTTTTACACGATCTTCCCAACAAGGTCCCGGCGTGGAAATGGGACTACTTCGGGGTGCGAAGTGCATTGGGGTGGCCATTCCAAACCGGGTGGGGGATGGCTGCCCCTGATGCTGGTGTTACGCTTGATAGGGAGATGGCGAAGGGCCTCCAGGAATGGGCACAGCTTGGGCTAAAATGCCACCATTATCTGACGGAGGCCAAGCTCATCGAGGCTGGTCTGAGTTCGGGTAGGTTCCTTACTYAGAGGCTTGCCTTTTGTTTTGCTCTGT